AAGCTGGAAAAACAGTTTTTTGTATTATTTAAGTCTTTAATAGCCCTTTATTGTGTGTCTTTCTTGATTACACAGTCATGTCTCAGCTTCAATGGGACTGAAAATTACTTCTAATATTACTTAGGATCTTAAGAGCAAGATCATCCTGAAGAATCAAAAGCCACACACTAACCCCTTAGAACAAAGAGGGTCTAAAACTGGCAGTACTGGGCAAATAATCTAACATTTGGCTATTGCACAAAAAGCAAGTCTCAATCCCGTACTGTTAACTTCAAATAGCAGCACATTTTCCCCAAAGCATGGTTTCACTCACACTACACTCTCCAGCCCTCAGGCATTATGTTGGCATAGTCATGTACATGATGGAACTAAATCACTTCATCTTGTTTAAAAAAACAAGCACCCTATGAAAGCAAATAACCCAAAAGCAAAAAAACCCAAAAACAACCAAAACACATGCCAGAGCTTGATCACTTTAAAACTTCAGAAATCCCACTCAGCATACAAGATCACCAGTGCAGCATTAACCTAACCAGAAGGGCACCAAGGACAGACATGGGAAGTAATCCCAAAATGATTTGTCTATCAAACAAATTGCAATGTCTAATTGCTATAAATTCCGATTTTACAAAATGGTATTTCAGAATGGTGCCTAAAAGCAGAAAAATAACTCCACTCATCAGCTTATGCTTGTCTTGGGCATTTATAGCTGTTAATCTCCAAAGAAAGCAGCTTTTCCAGTTCAACAGGTAGAGAACTTTAGTGCTGACTTCTGCACTTAGAATTCTATCCCTGGAGGCAAACACCTATTAAAGTACAGAAACATCAAGTGTGACAATAATTTGAGTGAGATTTAAAAGATAGAAAGGTATTTTGGACATCTGTTCTCTTCAAGATCTCAATGGACAAGTTGGACATAAGAGCAAAAGCCTCTCCTATTTGTGGTTTCAGCAAATCCACAATGCCTTGTGAGCACAGATAGGAAACTGTACTTTCATTCAATGTGACAAACATTTAACACTAAAAGTTCATTAAACAGTATTATCACAGTCATAGTCCCCCTGTACAAGTCTTTTTGCTACTTTACAGCAAACTTTGATGCAAGTATGTACTGTGTACCTTTGGCTTGAGACACTGTATTTTTCTGCTGCTCCTTGTTAAGTCCTAAATCACATAATGGTCTCTTTTCACCAGCAATTGTGCCTGATTCAATGGTGTCAAATTCACTTTGACTATCTTTCTCACTTTTTGATGTCCATTCCTCTTTTTGGCTTCTAATTTTGTTCAACAATTTCTTTAAGGCAAGTTTTGATCGAGGTTGGCAAATTTTTCCATCTTCATGCCCTATAAAAATATATACTGTTAAAGAGTTTTGGGTAATGAATATCTTCATATCATTAAAAAAAACCCTCTATTATTTTTTTATTACTTACAGAGTTAGAAAAATAGCTTAGGTGTATTTTTAAAATCTTAGCAAAATTTTCTCTTACCTGCAAGAGAGAAGCAGTAATTTGTCTCTGCAAGCTATAAAAGGACTAAGCTGGATGCAGTT